GAGTTGTACTTGAGACAAGCAGTATCAATCAATGTTCCTCATTGTTTTAGCCAAAAGTAAGTTTCTTAGCATGCTTGACGCTTTTTGAAAAATGAACAGATATTTGTGATTATGTCCAATTTGACATCAAACAATGCATATATGTATGTATGTATGTATGTATGCATGTGTATGTTGGGAAGTAGTTGTGACATGAAATCATGTGTTTTGAAACTATGCCTTGCAAATCAAATTTGTGATCGGATGCTTTCTATATGGTAGAATAAGCAATCATTATTAGAATTTAATTGGTGTTCAGGACGAGAAAGGAAATCCAGGCTGATGCAGCATGCGTGGATTTGAGATTCCGCTCCCCTTACTTCTATGAGCTGGGTTGCAAACTTTTACCCCTGTATGTAAACAAATCTATGCTTTTCGCTTGATACATAAATCGATTCTGAAGAAATTTTAATCTTTTAATCTTTTAGTGAGTACACAAGAGGAAGAGGGATAAAGAAGAAGTTATTCTTATATTTAGATTTTAATTATTTATTTCTTTGGCACAAAAAGCCTATTCTCATGGCAATCTCTGATTGCTGACAGGGTTACAGACAAGAGCATTGGTCCTTTTCTTCAATATGCATTCAGTAGCAGATACACTGAGATATTGTGCAAATCACACAGCATCACAGGAGCTACACCCAAATTCTCCTCCAAGCTCACAAAGGAAGAATCCCAATGTAAAGTTTCTTCTAATTATCTTTTGGTTCCTTTACATAAATACCACCCTATTCTTATGCATTTATTTTATTTTTACATTTATACTACCCAAATCTTTCACATCACATAAAAATTATCACCAACCCTATTCTTATGCATTTATTTTATTTTTACATTTCTACTACCCAAATCTTTCACATCACATAAAAAGTATCACCATTTAACTTTTAAAACGTGAAATACACCTTTTTCTTGCATAGGGGATGTGGCTTGTATGTAAAAAATTGAAGTTAGGTGTTAGATATGTAAAAATAAATAAGAATCTGAGTGGTATGTATGTCAATCTTTCTTATCCTTTTTTAATGATTGCATACTAATGCATTCTTTAATATAATAATTAATGAAATGTGTTTGGATTCTAAGTGTTTGAAGCTGCTCGGTCGTCAATGGTTGCGTTTAAGAAATGGAGGATAGGTGGATCAAGGTTGGAGAAGGCTTCTATATTAGGGAGAAAAAGAAAGCCAACAATATTGAAACAATCCTCAACTACATGAGTTTGTTTTTTTTTTAATCAGCTTGTCAGCACTGTATTGTAATTCATTGACTACCAAACTAATCAATCACAATTACATTAGAATATCACTGTTTTGTTGTAAAATATAATGATTAGGAGGAGTCTGCTTTTAAGATTATTGTTAATGATGTTTTAAGTTGTGATTTTATCTTCATTAGTTGTATTGTGTTGTGGGTGGCACGGTTTACTTGGTTAATTTCCTTTTTTTTTTTTAAATTTAGTAACTGTGTCATTATTTATTTGATGTTAAGAATTTGAGTATTATATATGGAAGTTTAGGTGTTAGATGTATAAATATATAAGACTTATATAGCATGTAAATGCCCCAATTTGGGGAAATTTACATACCAAACAATTTTTTTGTATTTATATTTTTGACATCCAAAGTTTAATATTTCACATTCATAACATCCAAAGTTTGATGTCTAAAATACGAAGGAGAAGAGGAAAGAGAAGGAAGAAGTCACAAGAAGGAAACTTGTTTTCTCTTGGGCAAGTTGAGTTGACATGTTCATAAGAGGTCGCCGAGGGTGTGCTATATTCAAGAAGACGATGTGAGCCTCTATGAGGGAAGATTGTTTACACGTACTCGAGAAGAAGAAGCTGAAGGAGAAAGGATCATGCGGTTTTTCCTTGTCAGATGAGAAATTATTGCATGAGTTTTGATATAATTTTACATCAGGACTCTAATCACGATCTATCACGTGTACTATCAGATACACCTATGTATTAAATTGGGGGCTTGCCTGTATACGTGGCAGATCTTGATTAGAGTCATGATGCAAAATTGTGTAAAATTGTATCAGACTTTTGATGCAATCATTTCTGGTCATATGAAGCTTACGCGCTCAACTGACCATTGGTGGTAGAAGAAAGAGGAGGAAGAAGCGCGGCTCACGTTTGTACGAGTTAAGGGCCGAACAGAGCGTCTAATAAGTGAGTGAGCGTTTTATAGTATTAAGGAATTTTAAATAAATGTTTAGTTTTAAAATGTTAATGGTTGATTAAATAAATTAGTAAAAAAAAAAAAAAAAAAAAAAAAAAAAAAAAAAAAAAAAAAAAGAGAGGTATGTTTACTGTTAATTTCAATGCAGGATTTGCATAATTACTTTAATGTACTAATTATCATTTTTTATTATTTAGATCAGAAGTAAAAAAAAGGCAGGAAGAAGTAACTTCAGTGGAGTTGGATGTAAAGATTTATGTATTAATTATGTTTGTGGTTTTAATTAAATGCCATTAAGTAGAGTATATGAATGTCATGGAAGAGTTTTTTATTTAAAATATAATTGGGAAAAAAAATATTTAAATTATGAATTCTATGTTAGAGAGTTATTTTGGAAATAAAAATTCTTAAATATGCACCTGTCCTGCATACATGTGAATTTAGTAGAAAGAAAGTGAAGGGATAAGTGTTTCAGATGTCTCTTAAAGTTCAAAGGGGGTCATCACTGATTTATGTATTAAATTTAGTTTCTTTTATTTAAAAATGTTTCACTTATTTTAGACTCATTAGAGATAATTTTTTAATTGAAAAAAAAAAGAACTAATTGTTTTGTTATTTATGTTGGTTCATACTCTGCATTGCACATAAAAGAAAATAAATAATTTCTAATGATAAAAAAAAATGAAATATAATTTAAATAAATATTTAAAGCGTAAGTCTATCGGGACTCATCTTTTATAGTACTGGCAGAGGATGTAATTGTACTCGTGCACGTTAAATGATAACTCGTGAGCCGGCTAATTCAAAAATATATCAATGTAAAACATATTTAAAAAAAATTAAATTTGAAAATTTTATCTATATAAAGTACTAAAAAATTTAAAAATCATATTTAATATTTTATATTACATGTTTTCTTCTTATTTTTCTTCTAATTGTTCAATATGTCTGTGTTTTATTATAAACTTAATATTATTTTCCTCTTTTATAATAAACAAGTTGGCTCGTAAGCCTGCTCGAACTTGTACAGTGAAGCTAGAGCTCGAACTCGATAAAATTAATCAAGCTTGAGCTACAGCAGAGGGTGACTCGAGCTCAACTCAACTCGTTTACACTCATAATTTACATACTTCGCTCAATTTCTATGTATTTATATAACTTACATCTAAACTTCAATTTATATATTTATACCACCTTATTTTTGCATGCAAATATATGTTTCACTTTTTAAACATAAAATAGAGATATTTTCTTACATCATAAAAAGTATTTGTTTCATATAAATTAATGCTAAAAAAAGAGGTGTTAGATACACAAATACATAAAAATTGGATGCTATATTTGTAAATGCACTTATTTTAGAATTTGAACAAAAATTTTCTTATTCATGCACATTAATAAACTTAATTGTAAAAAAAAATTCCTCACCAAAATCAATTAGAAAGTGGTAGCCAAACAATTATTAAAAAATATTATTTTAGGAGTTTTGATGTAACACTTCATCAGGACTCCAATCACTCATGGTCGTGTATATCCTACAATGCATTAAACTATTTAAATTTTTTTTTTTGCCTTTCGGGGTCTGGACTGCACACGTGATAGGCAGTAATTGGAGTCCTCATACAATATAATATTTTCTCCATGAATTGGGGGCGACGTCAATTTAGTTGATAAAAATCATACACATTTTTTATTAAAACAAATGGCTTTTGCATACATGCCACATAATTCTTAATTGTTTACATACGTTTCATATATAAATACATATCACACAAATCTTGGACATCATACTAAAAGTACCACGATACCTAAGTTTTTAAAAGTGATATAATAATAAAATCTTACAAATATAGATATTAAAAGTTAAAATTGTTAGATATGTAAATTAATAAATTTTTTTTGAAATTTACACTTGTTTTCGTTTATGTTTTAAATTTATATTAATTTTCATCATACTAAAAACAAAAAAAGAAAAATAAAATTTTTTTTATTTAAAATCAAAATATTTAAAAATATAATATTCTCTTGCAATCTATTCTTTTTAGGAGCCATTACATGCACTAATATCTAAAATTTTTTATTTTAACCTGTGCCACCCTTATCTTTTATTCAAAAAAATCATCATTTTAATTAAAGAAAAAGTGGAATACACCTTTTAATGCATAGATAAAATTACATGTAAAATTTAAAATTTCGTTGTTGTAAATAGGGGTGTAAATGAGCCGATCGACCTCCCTTTCAAAAAGTGTATTTGTGTTCGGCTCGTTTGCTTAGCGAGCTGAACACCAAACGAGCCGAATAAGAGCCGTTCACGAACAAATTGTTGTTTCGACAATCGTTCAAGAACGAAAAGTCGTTTTGACAACCCTTATCACTAAGCCATAAGATGTTAAGGATTAGTGCAAGATTTAAAACATCATTTGGATCTAATTTAATAATTTTTATTTTATTTTCTTCATTAATACTATTAATTGATTATAAATCTTTGTAGCCTTGTTGCCAATTAAATTTTTTAAAAACACTACTCATCAAAGATTTATATATAATTGATTAGTAGTATTTCAAGCCAAAACGAGCCGAACACGATTAAACAAATATTGGTTCGTGTTGTTCATGCTGAACGAGACGTTTTGACGGCCTTAATTGTAAATACAGGAATTGAATGGCATGTATGTATGTAAATCTCACTTTTTTTTTTACTGTTTTTTTAATTTTTTTTTTTG